CAGGGAGCAGGGAGCACTTTCCCACGCAGGAGGAGTGGGGGAGGAAAGCTGTCGATTAATTTGCGCGCACACGGGATCCTCCCCCGGGTATTTCCTCCCCACCCGTGATTTTGCGGGGGATGCACTGGAGGAGAGGCGAGCCGGCTGCTGCCCTGGGCACCCAGCAGAGCCACCCACGGCCACGCACTGGGACAGGGGAGCACACCTTTCGGAAGACACATTCGTAATAGCCCAAGGGTCAATAACTTTCATCTAGGAAAAGCAAATAAAAAATAAAGCTGCTTATTTTTGGTCGGACAACGTCCCCTGAGATGCCCCCGGCTGCGGTGGGAGGCACTAGTGGCTCTGGGACCTAGCTGGACCTCATGGAGAAGCAGTAGGAAGGAGCAGGATTAGATCAGGCTCTGGATCAGGGAATGAGCTGGGAAAACACAACCAAGATAAGAGAGTTGTCACCGGGGGCTGGGGGGGGGGGTTCAGCCAATTGTTGATTTGACTGACAGACTCAAACCCTGCACCTGAGAGCCAGCGGAGTTTATGTTGGGACCCTAATCCTCTCTGCTGGGTGCTTGGTGGGTGTCCCCATCCCCTCTTCAAAGAGATCTGAGGAAGAGGAGCTTGGCAGGAGCAGACCTCAGACAGTTATCTTTCAAATGGATTTACAGTGCACTGACTTGGGAATGCCACAAAGTTTTACTTCCACTGCATAGCTCAGGGGGAAAAAAAAACCCCAACCTCTCCCAGAAAACCTCTAGTCAACAGATAACACAATGTGGTTCCGATTTCCTCACCCCCTCTAAATAATTGTTTCTTTTCTTTTTAAAAATTTTGTCCCAGGGAAACGTTTCTAATTTAATCCCCTGCATGCACCTTCCTCACTGCCTTTGAATGTGTATTATCTTCCAGCCAGTGCTCCGGAGCGGAGCGAGAATTTTTGTTCTTAAAAAAAAAAAAAAGAGAAAAGAAAAAAAAAAAGCTTAACAAGCACAATGCGCAGCAAACAGGAATGGAAATGCCGGTCTGGGTTCCATTATCCCTGACCCAGAGGTTGGAAACCAAAAGAAATTAATTAAATTGGGGAGCGGGGAGGCCAGCACCATTTGCTGCTGGTGACCAGCCCACGAGGGATGCCTGGGGGACATCCGTCACCCATCATCCATCACCCACGCTGGGGGGGGGGTCACCGTCACCCTCCCTCCCATGCTGTTACCGAAGCTGCCGGCTCCCCGGCACCCACGGAGACGCACGGGGCTGCCCGCCTGTGCCAGCTTGTTCACATTAAAAACCGAAGGACGGATGGGGACGGGCAGCAGTCAGCGCGGCTGGGGGGGGTCAAAGTCACTCTTAACAGCAACTTAAAATCCCCTGGTTTCGCGTGGAGGATCCCAAGGCAGGGACACCCGTCGGAGGATGGGTGCAGCCACGGAGGTGGGATCCTAAATGGGTTTTTGCTGCGGCAAAGCCCCTGCCCGGGAGCGGGGTCGGCCCCGAGGAGGCAGGGATGGTGCTGGTGGCAGGGGACAGCGGGATACGGGCTCTGCGGCGTGACCGTGGTTGTCCTGGGAAGGTGAAAAGTGCCTTTTCATGGGAAGCTCCATAATCCCGTCAAGCCAGAGAGCACACGGATGGCGTGTGCTGCTCTTGGCCAACTCACCTGCCGAAAAAATCGCGCCCAAGGTCCCACGAGAGGCGAGACGGGGCCATGGGACGGGGTCCGGCCTTGCTCTGCGCATCCCACTCCAGGGCTCAATTTCAGCCGCAGGAGAGAATTAAAAAAAAAAATAAAATGCTTCAAATAACATCTGGCAATGAGGTAAGCGCAGGCAGCGCCCGAGCTCACATAGATGGGAGATGCTCAGTGTGAAGCCGTGCCGTTATCTCCCACGTCCGTGGTGACACGAACCCCCACCCGTGAACTACGCCGAATATTGACGGACACAGCCCGGCCTCCGTCGTCCCCAGCCCCGCAGCGGGTCGGCCGAGCCAGGAGGGATGGTAACGGGAGCGAGATGCAGGATCGCGGCATTTGCCCTCATCCCTCTGCATGGTAATCGGAACAAAATGTTCTTCCATTGTTCGCAGAAGAGCATTGGTTTCCAACTATGGCAAGTATTTAGGAAAACACAATTGAGTCATAAATGTTATTTACAATTTGGAGCGCTCTATACATTGCTCCAAGCCCCGCCAATTAAACTATTCGTCTTGGTTCGAAAAAGACCGGGTAACATATAGGACTTTCCCAGTCCCTGGCCAAGAACGTTAATGTCTTGCAGAAGCGCGGCAGCTCCGAGCGATGGGCTCTGCACCTCCGCTGCCGTCACGGCTTTCCCAGGTGCCAACTCCCAGCCATCGTTCCCTGCCTGCTGGCTCATCCCTGGCAAAGCCGGGCACCTCCTGGGATCCCGCAGAACCTTGGGAGTCTCCCAGCTCCCAGGCAGGAGGGTCCTCTTGCTCCCTCCAGCCATCCCGAGCTGGATCTGCCAGGGATGGAGCAGCCGGGCAGGAAAAGTAACCACAAACCAAGAGGGAGCCCTGTCCAAATGCGCTCTCGAATCCACCGGAGAAGGGAAGGGAGAGCTGTGTTCTCGCAGCCCCGGTGATCAGAGGCTTGGACAGGACACCAGGCGCTCTCTCAAATGCAAACAAGTGCTGTGACACCCAGGACTCACCTTATTTATTGCCCGTCACCTCGGCCCCGTGGGAGCTGGAGCATCCCCGGTGAGTGGCACCCGGGGCTGGGCTGCCCTCCCGGGGCTGCTGCTGTTTTCCCTTTTTAACACTTTTGGAAAAAACCAAAAAATGACTGAAGCTCCCGCTGGTTATTCAAGAGCTGTTTGCTTTAATCCCTTTCCAGAAATCCATTCTCAGTGGTGCCCATTCGGTACATGTGGTCAGAAAGGGGGAAAAAAGATGTAAAATGGCATTTCTGCGCCCGCATCCACAGCCTGTGCCAGCTTTAACCTGCTGGTTTGCTTTTCCCAGTTTGGACCCATTTTTCTTTCAAAACCGCACCTGGCTGCTTTTGCCACATCTTGCCTGGGGACGAGCCCCAGGGACGGGGGCAGAGATATGGCCACCGCTTCTGCCTCCCGCGGTGCCCACCAGTCCCCGCCGGGTTGGTGGTCCCCGGGAGGACGGCTCTGCCCCGAGCACCGAGCCCGGCACACAGCAACGCTTTTCCCTTCGCTTTGCGGCTTGGGCTCAATTCGCTCTGGAAAAGTGAAAGCCTTATTGTAAGCTTTTCTGGCCACTGGAATTCCTCCCCGGGAGGCCAAGGTGAACGTCACTGCAAAAAGCCAGGGGGAAAAGCCCGGCAAGACCCTTTCTGCTCTTCTCCCCCGCTTGGGTGCGTGGCCACGCAGCCGGCGGCACTGGACCGTGCCCGTGGGATGCTCGGCTTCTCCCGAACACCGGCCGGTCAGACATCTCCAGCACCAAACTCCGCCAGCTCCCCAAACAGGCGGATTTCAGCCCCCGGGGCTGCTGACAAAAAAGCACCAGTTATAAAAATCCCAGGTTAAGCAAACAGGAAGGCTCAGCCCAGCGCGTCTGCGCTGCCAGGCCTTAAAACAAGACCTGTTTAAACGCGGTGGGGCTGGCGGCAGACTTGTTGACTCCGGCCGCTTTTCCAACCCGGCCGCTGCCGCCCGGGCGACCCATGAGCATCGGCAGCGATGGGACGTGGGACGGAGCGGCCGCACAGGGCTGCGCTTGTCCTCGGGGCTGAGTCACAGAGCCCACACGGCAGCTCCAGCAAGGAGCTATTTCGGGTTTCACAGTAAACCTGCGGCTTTCTGCAGGCAAGCCTGATACAACGGGGTTTTATGCGTTACACAGGTTGCTTTGATCTTTCCCCCCCCCCCCCCCCCGCGAAAAACGA